GTAGTTGTTGAATTTCAATACTCGTCCTCGACGCGTGGAGAGCGTTGGAAAGCAAGCTTGTTCTCGATTCTAAGCTCTCCGGGGGATCGATCTACCTGTGGATTCCGCTTTGAATTCGCGTGTTCTCCTCTCTCAGTTGTTATTTTTTCTTGCATCGTTCTTCTCATGTTCGTGGCTGCATGAGCCACGAGTGGACGTCTTGCAGAGTTCCCCTTTCGTTAACGGAAAGACCACTCGACCTGTTTGCGTCGTCGACGTTGACAACAACGTCGACGACAGGCATTGTAACGAGGGTCCTTCACTGTTGTCATGAACAGAAGCTTTGAAAACGTTGTTTGAGGGAAAGGAAGTTATTGTTCGGTGATCGAGGATGATAAGTTTTCGTCGGTGGTGCTTTGAGACGAGAATTGAAAGGAATAGACTTGGATGGTAGTCAGAAGTGGAAGAAATAACGAGTTAGGAACAAACAGAAAGTTTTTAGAACTTTTGTGCAGGATTGATATCTCTTGACAAACTTTTTGATGTTTTGCAAGTGGAAATCGTTTTTGTCGATGTAATATATTGCAGTCCTTTCGCATAATTACATATTAGGTGAAATAATTTACGGACAGTATACAGATATAAAATTTAGAGTTATTTAGATCAATAAAAATGTTATTCGAAGAATATTCGGAAATTAGTCATTATTCTTGTAATAATTATATCTATTGATTGTAGTATTCTTTCCCACATGCTCAAATACACTAACACAGATTATAATATTTATTTGAATAATCGCTGAAAAAAGAAGGAGAAATCAGATTTATGTGATTTCTCAAACTTTTTAATCTTAAACTGATTTAAACTAATTTAATAATTAACTTAAACTAATTTAATCTTAGCAATGTAATTTGACGTGTTTTTACAATTTGTTCGTGACAATCAACCGAGCTTCCATCGTTTTCAAAATATACTAGAACACTCGTTTCTAAATCAGGGTAACCGTCCACAACTGTAGATCGGTCGTGTAATTATTAGGAAACAAAAATGTGTTATCTCGCGAATTATTCCAAACGTCCTTGCCAATATACTCCATGTCTGGAGAAAAGTACTGTAGATTGATTGTTGGATTGACATATATGGAGCATTTCTCTTTGGATACGATAAAATCCAATTATATTCATAGACAGATATACTCTCGGTATCTTGCTTCGCTTTCATACCTTTTGTTCGATCTGTCAACGGAAATTATAGATAGTTCTCAGTCGATATCTCAAATCAACACCCTATCAAGTTGATAATCCCTCTTGCTGAAGGTAATTACACGATTTTACAGTCTATTTCTTTCTTTTGTAACTTTAATATTGTTACTAGAAAGTCGTAACTTTTCATTCTCTTGATAGATTCCACGCGAGAGTGAATCATAGTATATGTAGCAATAAACGTTTTCTCTTGATACTTATGATTGTAAATTCTGCTCCAGAAATGTAACTATTGTTCAGTAGTAACTTTTTTAAATTTGGAAATTATAATAAAAAAAGTATCGGAATTAAATAATTATTCGAAAATTTTTTAAATATACAAATCTTACCGATATTTCAGAAAATATTAATTTATGATTAACTATATGCATTAATCATTTTCACTCATGTAATTAAAAACAATTTGTTATTGACTTAATAAATTGATACATGTGCATTTCTAGTTATAATTACTTATTTGATTAGAAAACGGAAAATACAGTATTTGTTCGTTGTTAATCATACTGTATAAAATCATAACCTACTCTACACATAAAGTACGAAGACAAATGCTTGAAGCCGAATGTGCACGAATCTGTAACGTGCTACAATTCGACTTTCTTCGCAAATACGAAAGGACATATACAGGATGATTCTATATGAAAAAACAAATTGAAAATAAAGAATAACAGTTTTTCATTCGAAGCTTCGTTGTTAAGAAAATCGACTTTGAATATCTAAGGATGTTGGTATACCGATAGACCATCTAACAATATATCGTAGTTAAGTGCGCGCGTACTCGGTGAATATTCAAAGTCCATTTTCTCGACAACGAAGCTTCGAATGAAAAAATTTTATTCTTTATTTTCGATTTGTTTTTTCGTGTAGAATATAATGAAAATATAATGAAAATGACGATCGAAAATGTTATTCCGTGTGATGATTCGCAATATCAATTTGGAATAAAAGTTTAGTCGAACAGCAACTTCTCTTCTTCGACACTGAAAGCCATTGTTTCGGACTAGTCTTGTGACAGCTGTCCACCTATAATCTCGTGTGTGGGGTTGAGCTGTCCTGGTCAATACGCGATTCATTAGGATGTAGGCCAGTCAGAGACGATTAATTAGGTCAAATGTGCTACCTGTGGATTCTGTGTTCCGCCAAAACGCACGAATGAATGTATAGTTACATGATTTTCAACTCGGGTAAAATAAAAATCGAGATTAAAACACGTTTTCAGGTAAAAATTTCACTACAACAGCTTATTTGTATTATTTCATTTTTGTATCGTTATGTTTTGTTATTTTAATATTAGCTAACCTATCAACGAAATTGTCCCTCAACTGAAAATTATTTTCGTCGTGAAATTAAACAATAAAATCAAATTTTAGTCATTTTTTTTATAGGTAGAGAAAAATCTGATTATAAAGAATTGATTAATTTCTCGTGAAAAGGAAGGTTTAATCGATAGGGTATTAATTGTTGAAGGTAAGGAAATAAGTAATTATTGGAAGTACTTTCAGTCTTTGACCGTGGAGTGTGGATAAAAGTCGAGGACAGATTTTTTCACGGGTGATTTTGCTTGGACTTGATGAAAAAGCTTGGAGGTTCCAGTGTCTAAAAATAGCTTACATTCTCTTAAGGTTGAACCTCCGGTAAAACATCTTCAAACACGGAAGTGTTTGGGGCTGTTATTTTGATGCCGATGGATGTACTTCGAAACAAGTATTTTTAACCCCTTTTTATATTCCTTTCTTTAGAGGAGTCTGTATACTTTGGAAGCACTTTTAAACTTTAACCTTTTCATGGTTCTACTGTTTCGCAAGCACATTGTATAAATTATATTGTGCACTTTAATCGATAATTTAAGTATCACTGTAAATTTTAAGTTACATGTAACTTCTGCATACAATGTTATGTTTTCAAATTACCTTATTATTTGTACCATTTTAAAATTATAATTTTGCATAATAGGAACACTTTATTGCATTAAAAAGAATTTAAATGACCATTACATTTTTAGAGATTCATCATTTATAAGAGAATTGTGATAGATGCACAAAATAGTCTAAAATACAAATTAATTTGTTTCATTTGTAAATTTAACTTGTATATAAGTATATTAATAATCCATAATATATGGCTGTTATATGAAAAATTTAATGCCTATGAATATTGACAAGGAAATTTCATAGATTAACGATATGCATTTTTCTAAATTTCCCT